CCCCAAAACCCCAAAACCCCAAAACCCCAAAACCCCAATAGTTGATTTGCAGATTGAAAGGGCAAGTTAGATGAAAATTCCTGATATTATCACCTTTAAACATCTTTCTCAGCCTCTTCATGGTAATTTTGCTTTTACCCGCATGCAGGGTTAAAGCGGACAGGGTTTGTGTGAGTGACTGCTGTCTCCAATCTCAATGAGTTCTTGAATAACCTCCCTGACTTCTCTAATCATGTTATCTCCGTCCTTTGAGCTCTCAGATATCGAATACCCATTACTAGAGGAATCAATTGATGACAGGAGCATGATAATTTTAAATGCTTCCAAGAGCATCTTGTTTTTCTCAACTAGCTTAATTATATTTTTCTTGGACTGAGAGTTCTTCAGTTTTATCGTAGTCCTCACCACTTCTGCTATTTCTGCAGCGTCGTTTCTAACCAATCAATTTGAAGGTGAGAATTCGGTGATCTCCTATTCATTAATGCTTTATTTACTGTAGAATTTAGGCAGTTTTGAGCGGAATCAAAATTCATTATCAAATTCTCAACTTTCTTCTTGCTGAATCCGAGTGAGATGAACTCAAAGAACTCTTTAGGGAACAATTTGTTCGACCCTGGCTCTAAAGAGTGAGGCTCAAAGCCCATTGTATTTGAAATCCACCAGCCCTCTTGCTTATATTTCTTCTTAAACTCACTAAGACATTTTCTTAAGCCAGATTCGGACATGAGTTTCATGAAGCTTTGGAATCCTCAAAAGAAGGACCGACTATACTTTTTGCTAAAAGTCATGGTTTTTGAGCTTACCTTGTACCTGATTTGTATCTACACCTAGGCTCTGTATTAAAAAGACACTTGCGAATGACGTCTTTAGCCATCCTAAAGGCCTTGAGCCTTACAGTGTCTCTTCTTTCCTTAGTCCCGCTGATACATCCCTTAGTGATCCCTTTCAGCCTACTTCTAATAGATTCTGCGATGGCCAAAATAAGCTCTTCTCTCGTAATATTCTTGTCTATATAAGGCGCTCCTATTTTTGACTGTCTTTCTGGCTTTTCTAAAGGATAAGGAGCAAAATTTACTTGTAAATACCTCCAAATACTCCATTCACTCTATATACCAAAGTTTAAGGCCATTTTTGAAGCCATTTTCGTTTCAGAAATTACAGAAATTTCTTTATTTTTCAGAAATTTGTAGCTATTTCGCCATTTACAGGTTTAGAACTTTTCTTCATATTTTATCATATAAAATAGTTAATTTATTAAGAAGGAAAATCCAGCAGTGAAGTCCTTGCAAAATCTCCGAATTTTAGCAAGGGAATGATTGGCTGCTATTTCACAAATATTATTAATATTTATATCTGAAAAAGTGGATAGTGTAAGCCTCCTCCTTGGGTCCTTAAATTTGCCTCAAAACTTCATGGGAGCGTCATGAAATGGGCTACCAAAGAGAGACAATTTGTTTATGGCACCCGTCTATCTAGTTCTTTAGCAGCTGAAAATGTGCTGTTTTAACGATTAATATCAATGTGATGATGAAATAAAAATGGCCGACACTAGATGAGTCCTAAATTATAACATAGGTTATAAATTCGGGAAATAATTTGACATCAAAATCATAATCAACATATCAGTCTTGGGTCAGATTTCATTTTCCAAAACAACGAAGGGCATACTCAGATGCTAGGTTTATCAAAAATTTAGGCTTTTTACTAAACTCTTAAAATTATGAGAAAGAATATTTTTCATATAAATAACAAATGGAAAGAGGGTCGGAATGAATCAATAATTTTGGCCTGACCAAAACTGTGAACACCTTTGATGACTTACTCTGGTACGATTCCCCTCAATGGGTAAGTGTAGTCTCTCCCGTGCTATTTCCTTCAGTGCGAACGTTCAGTTTTTCTAAATCTTTAATCAGAGGTTTAATTGTTCTCAGTTTTGATAAACAAGAAATTGAACTAGATTCTAAACTTATGTGTAACTATAGGCTTCGAGTGGAATTAAGCGAGAAGAGAAGCCACTAAATTCTCGTTCTGATTAATAGAGAAGACACCCAAGATCTAAGAAGGAATTATAGTTGGCTAACAGATAAATTTGTAACTCCCTTACCTATTGGCTTTGGTGTTGATAAGGATTTTGGCAAATCCTGCATAATTCCTCCAGAGGTCACTGGCTCTTCTGATGGATAGGGGTAAATTACAGGAGGAGGGTAGATGCTTTCAGTAGGAACAAAGGCAAATATTCCAAGCCTATTGCTAGTTTGGGTAAGTCAACCAAATTGGTAAGCTATTTCATGAATTGTACTATAGATCATATTAAGCTTAGAAAAGATGATTCCCTTACTCTCCATCAATAGGGGTCACTAATGATACGGCTTGATTTAAACTCAGAGAACTGATCTGGTCCTAAACTTAAGTTATGGTCTTTATGAAATTTCATTTTGAATACTTAGCCTCTTAAAGTAATTAGCTAAGTTTATTAATCATCAAAATATCTAATGGCTCTCCAAAATCGAGCAACAGCAAGTTCCTGTCAGTGGATGATAAAATCTTCGTGCAAAAGCAGAATAGCTGATATCAGCAATTTCCACTGTAATACTAACCATCTTTTCTGAAACAAAATACACAATTACGGAAGATGCTCAGTTTGATTACCTTGGCCTTGCTTTCCTCTTCAGTAGAGTTAGGAGTGGTAGAGAGGTCACCTCAAGTTTCATTTTGCTTTGCTAAACTACATAGGCAGTATTGCTTGGCCATTCTGTGGAGAGTTGCCAATTTCGAAGTTCCCCATCTGAACTTTTTCTTCCTTTGATTCCTTTCTCTTAGCATAAATTTAATTATAATTCTCAAAATTTCCCCTAATAAATGGGGTTTTGGGGTTTTGGGGTTTTGGGGATTTTAGGGCTTAGAATGGGGAGATTTGGGGGTCTAGGCTGGGGATTTGTGAAAATTTTGGGGTCCAAGATTGTGGGATGATTAGAAATTTTGTTATGAGTTATTAAAATGTTGGAATTTAGGTTTTTATGACAAAACTTTCACAAAAGGAGAAGGAGAATGCTCTCAATGAGGTGCGTATCTTGGCCTCTATTGATGACCCAAATATCATAGGATATAAGGAAGCATTTCTGACTGAAAATCCATCTACTCTTTGTATTGTGATGGAGTATGCTGATGGTGGTGATTTATATGACAAAATATGTAAATGTCAGAAAAATGGCATGACTTTTCCCGAGAAAGATATCTGGAATATATTTATACAAGTGGTCAAAGGCCTCAAGGCTCTTCATAATATGAAAATTCTCCACCGTGACCTCAAGTCAGCTAATATATTTCTTAATAAGGATGGAACAGTAAAATTAGGAGATCTGAATGTCTCTAAGGTCGCTAAAATGGGTCTTGTTCACACTCAGACAGGAACTCCATACTATGCATCCCCAGAAGTGTGGGATGATAAGTCTTATGATTTTAGAAGTGATATTTGGTCTTTAGGTGTCTGCACTTATGAAATGGCCACCCTCAAACCTCCATTTACAGCTAGTAGTATGGGTGAGTTATACAAGAGGGTCTGTTCAGGGAAGCATCCAAAGATCTCGAATAATTATAGTAGAGATCTTTCTTCTATTATTTCAACTTTGTTAAATGTGAAACCCTCTGAAAGACCTAGTTGTGAACAAATTTTGCATATGCCAGCAGTTGAAGAGCATCTAACTAATGAAGATGATAGTGATATGAACAAAGAACTGCTCAATACTATAAAAATACCTAGAAACATGAAACTCTTACAGGGGAAACTCCCTAAGTCTCAGTATGAGGATGACAAGATTGAAGAAATGGATGATGTTGGAGATTTAATTGAAAATGGCAATCTCCCGTCTACAAATACTAATGATTATCCAAATTATGCAGCCCCTGCTACAGCTGCAAGTAGAGATACAGAGCCCACACTTAAAGAAGTCAGGTCTAGGCATAATATTGATGAGCGAAAAGATATTGTAGGTGAAGTGCGAAAGCGAAGAGAAAAGCCCAAGACCACCCCCATGAACTTGGTCCCTCTCAAGAACAAAGTCAAGAAATACGAAATGTACAGAGACCTCACCAAGAACAAAGACAAATACGGCATCGGCCACCGTAGAAACCACAACAACATCCACCAGAAATACATGGAAAGAGCCAAGGAAATTGAAGCTCAGGAGCAGAAGCTCAAGAGGGAACTGCAGCACAGAGTGCAGGACCCAGAGCTGCCAGACATTTACACCAAAGGTCGCATTGGAGTGCAGAGAGTGCACTACGATCCCAGGCACGACTCTAGAAAGGGACACCACGGCTCATCACACAAGTACCTGGGTGGAAGTGAGAACACCAGAAAGCCGAGCTTGGTGATCCAGCCAAGAATCATGGCACACAAGAAAGACGGGCTCAGATCAAGAGGAGACGTGATTGACTCGTTACCACCACCGAGTTCGAAGGGAGTGTCGCCGTCAAGGTACAAGCCTCATCCATATAAGAACATTTACAGCATGAAAGCAAATAAACTCTCCCAACTAAAAGGGATTCCTCCAATATCAAAGCATTCAGGTATTCCAAACAACTTATTTCTTCTAGGAACTACCAAATTGAACAGTAGCAAGCAGAATTTGCCAAAATTAAGGACTAACAAGGCTAGAAATAAAAGAAATGAGATGATCCATGGAATCCCTTCTATCAGATCTAACTCAAATGAATCCTATAACCCTATTTACAAGGACTTAAATAGGCCCACGTGGTGGGGATAATTTTCATGTCTCTGTTTGAATCAATTTTCAACAATTATAAAAATAAAAGGGGTTTTGGGGTTTTGGGGTTTTGGGGTTTTGGGGTTTTGGGG